GTGTGTGTGTGTGTGTGTGTGTGTGTGTGAACGTAGGATTGACACTAGATTGGAAGGATTTAGCTGCCTTTCAGGAGGGCGAGACTGGATGAGGAGGAAGGCAGAGCCATGATGAGCTAGCAGTGGGTAACCAGATCCCTAGGCTGCCTCTTGCTTCCTCTTCCCTGTCTCTTCTTATCTCTTTATCTTGATCTGTCTTTTTCTCTCAGAGGCTTCTAATCTTCCCTTTCTCAACTCCCTACACAGTCATGAAATGGAAGGATTTAGGCTGAAATGAAAGGTGGAAAAACATTGCAGAGAGGTTTGCCCCTGCCCCAATTGAGGACTCAGGGCTTCTTGTTGGAACCATGTCTCCATTCTTCTCCTTGGCGTCACATCTTCAGTTTCTTACCTTCTAGTCCACCATCCCTGCCCAGAACCCTTTCTTGGCATCCCCAGAGTGAGGGCCAACTCCTTGGTGCTTCAGTGTCTCATCCCAACCTAATTTACAGTCATGATGAATTTCTTAACCATTCTCCAATTCTTTGTACATGCTGTTCCACCTGCCTAGAATGCCCTTCTCTCTCCTTCTCTACCTAGATAAAGAGGTACTGGCAGGACATAAAGGAGAGGGTTTGGCTACAGTGATTTTATCCTCCCACCCTTTTCCTAAGGGAAGGAGCTAAGAGGGCTTCTCCTGTCCTCTCGAACCACTGACCTCTGACCTTTCCCTCCCCAGGCTGCGCCAAGACCTTGTACCACTCAGTCCATGAAAAGATCTTCACGCTTCCGGGAGACTGTCTGATCTACCCTGCTCATGATTATCGTGGTGAGGGTTTCCTAGAGGAAGTGTGGGACTTAACTTACTACTATTTGAGAGGGAGCACCAAATTGCTGTAATCTTCATGGGGCATGGGACTACAATTCCCAGAAATTCCTCTGGCCAGGAAGATCAAGTACTTAGGTGTACTGAGTGTAGATGTAGAAATGGTGACTCCTAGAATACCAGAGAGTGTTGGTTTTCCTGGGCCTTCCTTATAGAGTTTAGGGAGCTGTGTGAAACTACATTTCCCATGGTGCCCATCAAGAAGGGAAAGCAATCTTAGGAACATCCTGGGAAAAACCTTAGTCCCAGGCCAGAGAGGCACTCCAAAGCCTCCTGGGAAATGTAGTCCCAGGAGGCCCAAGGACTGGACCAGTGGACATTCCTCTCCCTGTCTTGGCCACCAGGGCTCACAGTGTCCACTGTGGAGGAGGAGCGGACTTTGAACCCTCGGCTCACACTCAGCTGTGAGGAATTTGTCAAGGTTATGGACAACCTGAACTTGCCCAAGCCTAAGCAGATAGGTGAGCAGATGGGAGCCTGGACTCCTGGGTCTGAGGGAGGAGGAGGCTTAAAGGCCAGAACTCCAGTTTCCCAAAGAAGGGCTCTTAGGATCTCTGGGTTCCTACTTGGGCCTGGGGGGGTGGGGGGGGGAGAGGGGGCTGCGTCTGCCAGGGCCCCTTAGTTTCACCCTTGGTTTCTTCCTTTTAGACTTTGCCGTTCCAGCTAACTTGCGCTGTGGGGTCCAGACTCCCCCTTCCTGACATCATCTTTGTCAGGTGCTCATATCTGTTGAAAATGCACTAGGTGGGGTGAGGGGAGAGGTGCCATCCCTGGAGCCTCTCTCTTCCCTTCCCTCACCAGCTCCTCGAGCCTCTTAAATAAAAATCTTTTTTTTGTTTGTTTGTTTGTTTTTTGTTCTGAATCTGACTTCTGTCTGTTTTCTGGGGGAACCAGTTGGGCTTCTGGGCTGAGGTGCCTGGGGTTAGTCCTGGTCCCTGGAAAGGCCAGGGAGTGGGGTAGTGTGAAGGGCCAGGGAGCCCGAAGTAGAAGATATTCTAAGTCATAAGAGCAGAAGCAAACAGGTATCTGGGGCAGGGCCTTCTTGGCTCCTTGGATTAGAACACCATGTTGAATTTGAGCCACTTCCCCCTGTGAGACTCAGAATAAGGTAATTCACTTCTCCAGGCCTCAGTTTCCTTATCTGTAAAATGGAAATAATAATAATAATAATGTATTGTGACTATTTAGTGAGTCCATATGTGTGAGGTGATTGGCACACTGCATTCATTTCAGACCTCCTATCAGTGTTAACTATTATCATTACTATCATTTGGAATGATCTTCCAAGTACTTACTGACTTGGAGTGAAAGTGTGCCTCATGGTTAAGAACATGGACGTTCCAGAGAACAAATATGGTCTTAATATTAATATTAACAACATGTGTAGACTGTAGACACACTTGTCCCTCTCAGCCTCAGTTACCCCAATTATAAAATGGAGATAGAAATCCCTTTCTTGCTAGGCTGCTGTGAGGATGAAATTAAATTAATGTGTATAAAGTGTTCAGCACAGCTCCTAACATCCAATAATCCTTTCTCACATACCAGTTATTTTCCTGTTTTTGCCCAGAGAGGAAAGGGTCTGGCTAACACCTTTAACCTCTGCCCTCCACCCCATAGGAAAGTCGGGGGGAGGGGCACCGTTCCCCTCGTTTCTGGGCGGGTCTCTGACTCAACTCAGGGCACCCCCTCCCCTTGCCCGGCTCCCCAAACCGGTCAGGGCCCTACTAAAGGGCTCATTAGAGGGGAGAGGCCCCTATCTCCATTCCCCTCTTCCTTTCAGGATTCCCAGGGTCTGGGCCTTAGGGAGGCACTTATACATAGGTGACCAAGACACCTGACCCTCCAAGGGGCAGGAATGGGGGGCACTGGAGGCAGAGTGGGGAGTCGCGATGCTGGGTTTTCCGAGGGTGGGGCCGGTGGGGCCGGGATGGCCGGATGCCGCGGGCGGGGCAAGCTGGTCGCTCCCTCCTCCCTCGGGAGCTGTTGGACCTGTTGTGCCCCCCTTCCACTTCCGGGCTGCTGGGGAGGGGGACAGAGCAGCCTCTCTCCTCTCTTTTCCCCAGCCACCTGTCTCGGAGGCAGAAACGACAGCGCCCTGAGCGCAGAGGGAAGCGAGCCGCAGCCTGACAGGGTGAGGGGGCCTGGGCTGCGGGGGAGGAGGGGGATGGAGATTTGCCTCTTGGGTCCGGTGGGGAGGAGGAGGCTGGAGTTCGGGAATCTAGCTCCCGGGAAGAGCAGAGGACTCAGACTCCTGGTTTGTCCAGAGAGAGGGAGACTAGGAGTCCCGACTCTTCGGTCCCTGGGTGAGGCGGCATGGGCGCTGCTCCCTACATTGGGGTCGGAGCCAATTCTACTGATTTCCAGAGAGCAGGGGGCGGGAGCCCGGACTCGTGAGTCCCCGAGGGAGAAGGAGATGGGGTCGTTCTAAGGTGGTCCACGGATTGTGGGGGGCTGCTGGAGGGTACAAGGCTCCACACTTGGATAGGAGGGAGAAGCCAGTAGGAGGCGTGCTAGGACCCCGGACTCAAATTTCGGTCCCGCCTCCGGGGGCGTGGCGCCCTACAAACTCCCAACTCCAGGCCACCCCGCCCCCGAATGCTCAGTCCCAGCCTTTGAACTCTTAGGCCCCGCCTCCTGGAGCCCTTCTCGCACCACAGCGATCCGGCAGAGCGCTCAGGTCTCCTGGGCCCCGCCCCCACGCGGTCAGACCACGCCCCCGGAACTCCAGGGCCCGCCCACCCCGCAGCAGTGTGTCGCGGACATGGGGACGCCTAGCAGCCCCGAAGATGGGACCCCACCGCCGCCAGTCCCAGAGTGTGACGCGGAGGTCCAGCCCCAAGGGGCTGCCCAGCCCCGGGAGCACACCGAAAACCTTTGCGGGCAGGAGAAGCCCGAGGCCCCAGCAGAGCTGAGCGGCGGAGGAGCTGAGCAGCAGGCGGAAGAAGAGGAAGAAGTGGGAGAAGGCAGCAGCACGGAGAGCAGCCGCGACACGGTGAGGAACCTGGAGGGTTGGAGCCACGGGGGGACCCAGAGCAGGTAACAGAGACATCGAGAGACAGGTATGGAGAGACCAAATAGACAGAGACCTGGAGCAGGGAGAGAGCCCCAGAGGCTGACACCGAGCCAGAAAGACTCAGACAGAGACACTGAGAGACAGAGACTCAGAGAGATAGGGCAGGAGATACAGACAGAAACCCAGAAACAGGGTAGAGATGCTCAGAGAAATAGAAATAAAGACAGAGAAACCTTGAGAGAGGGAGCTACTCCGAGGGAGAAAGAGAAGTAATAGTTCAGAGACAATAGACAGATACTGTGGGAGACACAAAGCCCAGAGAAACGGGGGAATCTCAGAGAGACCTGAGGCGAAAGAGAGAGAGATCCAGGGCCTACAGGACATGATGCCCGGAGAATGGGACCTGGTTAGCAAAAAGAAACACCTTCCTTGAGTTGGTTCCAATACCCCCTTCCGGGGGATTGTGATGATCTAGTGAGTCCATATGTGTTAGGTGCTTGGCATACTGCATGTATGTTATGCTTCCTGTCAGTGCTAACTATTATCATTACTATCATTTGGAATGATCTGCTGAGGCCCTCCTCCTCTTAGGGACTGGGTGGTCATGGGACCTGCACCCTCCCTGAACTTGAATAAAAGAGCCTGGTGGTTGAGTTAGGCCACCCCTTGCCCTTGAATAAAAGCGTAGTGGTTGAGTTAGGCAGACGCAGACCCCTGAGGGGGTATGGGGTAGGAAAAAGATATATTTAGTGACTGCTGGGGGCGAGGCCTCTCCACTTGACCACACCCTCTCCAATCTCAGGGGGAGGCCCCTCCTCCGGAACAGATCCCGGCCACGGCCCCCACACCCACCAAGTCTAGGGAAGGGGTGAGAGGGGCGGCGCAGCGGCTTCGAGGACAGCAGCTGGAGGCACTGACCCGAGTGGCCCTAATGGAGCAGCGAGTGAAGGAGCTACAGCGCCAGAGGAAGGAGCTGAGGATCGAGGTGAGACTGCAGACCTCTTGGGAAGTCTGGACCCAATTTATGGGGAACTCGCAAGTCCAGGCTCCTAGCCCTTTCCTCTTCTGGATCCAACTCGAGGCCTCCGGCTCTCCCTCCCTCCCCCCGCCCCAGATCCCGGAATTCAGGCTCTCAGGCTCCTCCCTCAGACCTAGGGGTCC